CCGGCTGCACACCCCACCCCAGCGCCAGGTCGGGGGACTAAGGCTGCGCCCCCCACCTGGCGGGGCTTGACAGGGGACCTCAGAGGGAAGGTAGGGGATGACTAGGCACGCCCTCTGGCTCGGGCCGCGGGACCTCAAGCTGCACCCCCCGCCCCAGCACCGGCGGACCTGAGGGTGTGCTGGGGAAACTGAGGTTGTGCTCCCTGCCCCGTGTACACCGGGGGACCTGAGGCTGTGACCCCTGCCCAGTGGGGCTTGATGGGGGACCTGAGGCTGTGCCCCCCACCCGGCAGGGCTTGACAAGGGTGGGGCCGGCTGGGTCTGGGTCTCACACGATTTTGAGGTGCCGCGGGTGTGCAGGGACTTGACTCTGGGTCCCGCAGTGTGCCCCAGACTCTGACAAGAGGAGGATTTTCATATACATTTTACTAATTTTCTTTCATCTCTGACACTTCTATTATAGAGAAAGGGCAAATAGCAATATTAAAATATTTCCTCTAATTAATCCCCTTTTAATGTGCACAAATTTCATGCACCGGGCCACTAGTGTTCATATAAATATGAGATTTATAGACGAGTTTATCAGATGATCTTAATCCCCTCCCTGATAGGTGAAATCAACTTCTATATGTACAGGTAGAAATTAGAAGAAATACTATTTTTAAAAATGAAAGACTAAAACAATAAATTTTGAGGTTATTCCACTTTACATAGCCTCTTTTACCACTAGTATAACCTCTACTCCAGTAAGGTAGAGAGGGTTGTCTCAACTGTCTCAACTCTATTCCCAAAACACTCTGTTCATTCCTTTTTCTTTGCCTCTATAGGCTTCTCCTTCTTTTCCTTCTCCATTCCTTATTTTGCCTGGCTCAAAAATTCTAGGTCTTCTAAGAAAGCACTTGTAATAACACCATTCCTCATTAATATCTATTTGTTTTGAAATGCCTGTTTTGAAATACTTGTGACACACAATTGAAGTATCTTAATCTCTATCAATGAAGCCTCTCCAACTCCAAGTGTGGCTAACTCAACTGAATTCAGAAATGTGGTGTTTTGGTACATCTTAGCTAACTACAAGGATGATGAACTTTCCCCCCATAAAAGTAGAATATTATATATGTTATAAAAAAGTGAATCAAATGAAAGACTTATTCTAGGAATTGAGATTTAAAACATTACTACTGGGTTAATACTAACTTGTGGTACAATCCTAAGACATTGCTTACAATTTCCTTATTTAAAAATAACACTTTTGAAAAATTTTCTTCCCCAATGGCAGAAAGGATCATATTTTATAAAAACGATTTCAAGTCGTAAGAGCACTGGATATGCAATAAGGAAATTTATATATACACATATATATACACACACATACAAACATGCAAAGGAAAAAGAATATGTCGGTTTGCAAATGTTTATAACGTGAAATATTGAATGTAAGCACATTAATAGCAAAAGATAAATTGAAATAAGTACACAAACTACATGTAATCCCAATTCACACTATGAATAGATGCTTCACATATAGGGTACTGAAAAAAACAAACAAAACCCAAGCAACAAGTGAATATCTTGTTTAAGAGAGTTTCATTGTTTATTTAAAAATAACAATGCACCCTAGCTGGTTTGGCTCAGTGGATAGAGCGTCAGCCTGCGGACTGAAGGGTCCCAGGTTCGATTCCAGCCAAGGGCACATGCCTGGGTTGCAGGCTTTATCCCCAGTGGGGGATGTGCAGGAGGCAGCCAATCAATGATTCTCTTTCATCATTGATGTTTCTCTCTCTCTTTCCTTCTCCCTTCCTCTCTGAAATCAATAAAGATGTATTAAAAAAATTTAAAAATAAAATAAAAATAACAATGCAAAAACAAAAGTATGAGACGGGTCTTACTAGGTCTCCTGACTAAGACTAGGACTGTGGGGGGAAATTCGCAATATAGTTAGAGGCCAGTTAAAAATTTCCTTTCTAATATGGTATAATTATATATTACATTAAAAATGTAATACAGAGATTGCATGTTAGACATAACAGCATGAACTCAATTTTCAATGTTTCCCAATCCTACTTCAGTATCCAAGTAGGTAAGGCAGAAAGTCCTTTTTCCCATGAAATTCAATTAATGTTGTATTTAATTAAAATTTGACTATTTTTCAAAATCACATATATTTTTAAATACAGAGCATACTTAATGTACCCAAATAAGCAAAAAGATGAGGGGATAAAAACCTTAAAGGATTCAAAAACTTAAAATTGACCAAAAACATCATAAAATCACTGCGTGCCTCGGGGAAAACTTCACACAATAATGTCTCCAGCCAGTGTTACAATGCCGTTACCCTGATCCTAATTCAATGAACCCAATTTCTAAACAGGTTGTCGGTAGAAGAGATGTTTACAATAAAAACGGGTCCATTTTGTATTCTGAAAGCACTAAGAACACTTAGCTTTAAAATTCTTATCTAATAAAAGAGAAACATGCAAATTGACCGTACCTCTGCTACAATCACAAGCAATGCCCACAAGCCACACCCAACAGCCAATCAGAGCGACTATATGCAAATTAACCCAACCAAGATGGCAGCTGGCAGCCATGGAGCTGGAGTAAGCAGGAGGCTTGGTTGCCTTGACGATGGAGAAAGCCAAGCTTCCTGCCTGCCTGGCCTGCTGTGGCCTCTGCTCAAAGGCAACAAAGTTTCAATTATAGAAGATAAATCAATCCCAGATACCTGCTTCCAGCCAGCGTCCGCTGGGAGCTTGGGTGGCTGGGGGCCGTGGCCAGCCTGCAAACAGCCATCAGCCTCTCACCCAGGCTGGCCAGGCACCCCAGGAGGGACCCCCACCCTGAAGGGGCTGTGGCCAGTCTGAAAACAGCCATCAGCCCCTCACCCAGGCTGGCCAGGCACGCCAGCCGGCCCCCACCCATGCACCAGGCCTCTATCCTATATAATAAAAGGGTAATATCCAAATTGACCCTAACAGCAGAACGACTGGGAATGACTGGTCACTATGACACACACTGATCACCAGGGGGCAGATGCTCAATGCAGGAGCTGCCCCCTGGTGGTCAGTGCGCTCCCACAGGGGGAGCTCTGCTCAGCCACAAGCCAGGCTGATGGCTGCAATTACAGCGGTGGTGGTGGGAGCCTCTCCCGCCTCCTCAGCAGCGCTAAGGATGTCGGACTGCAGCTTAGGCCTGCTCCCCGCTGGCAAGTGGACATCCTCCAAGGGCCCCCAGGCTGCCAGAGGGATGTCCAACTGCCAGCTTAGGCCCAATCCCCCAGGGAGCGGGCCTAAGCCAGAAGGTGGACATCCTTTGAGGGGTCCAGACTGCGAGAGGGCACAGGCCCGGCTGAGGGGACAAATTTTTGTACACTGGGCCTCTAGTTTTATATAAAGAATACCTTGTGGTTTTTTCTACACTTTTTTAAAGAACTAAAATCACTTATGAGAACTCAATCAAAGCTATTTTCCAGAATGTCTCCTTAGATAAGACCAAAACCTATTTTATAAGGGTAAACAGTAAATGGCTTAAACATAAAAGTGCCCCTAGTTCCTATGTCCATCGTATTCTGCAGTGCACGCCTCTGAGTTGAAGTTGTACTAGTTCATCCTACTGCGACCTCCTGTTCACTAGCCAAAAAGAAGGATCTTCCTTCAGGCGCTAAACCAACAAACCCGGTGGGGGGCGGGGGCTCGAGGTGGCGCAAGAACAGATGGAAACAAGTAAGAGAAGGTTAGTGCCTCCACTCCAGGTGCCAAGATGTAATCGCCCACCGAGCCAGCTGCTTCCACTACCCACACTTCTTCCCTTCCTCTCTCACCCCAAATCCCCTTCCAAACACACGCGCACAGCACCCCTCGTCCCTGTCCCCGCGTCGCCCCCTTCCTGCCCAGGACACCAACCTGCGGGAGAACAGCTCCCTGCACACGTCCCACTCGGACAGAAAAGCGAGCGCCGGCGGCGAAGGTCCGGAGGTCCCGCCACCTCCCGCGGCCCCCGGCAACCTGCAGAATGACAGCTCCCAGCCCAGAAGTTTGAGAAGCACGAACGATGCCGACCCCACCGACTGGGAAGACGGACGGTCAGGAGGACGCGGGTGGGAGGCGGGGAGGGAGACGTGCGGGTAAGTGCGGGGACGGGCCCATGACATGACAGCGAAAGAGGACCAGAGTCGCCGGGGCGTCCGCACAGGGAAGGGGGGCGAGGGTGTCATCTCTATGGCAACAGTCCCCCCCGCTCCCCGCCTTCCAGACTTCAAAAGAGGGAGGAAGAACTTCAAATCCCAACCGTCAGCGCTCCAGCGGCTCCTCCTTAAAGGGGTACACACCGCGCCGCCGCCGAGCGCGAGAGGGCAGAGGAGGGCGCCCCC